CGATTTTTTTTCTGTCATGTATATATATATATATATATCTTTCATATATAAGCATACACACACACATATGTATGTATGTATGACTGTGCACATGCACACACATATATCCCTCATTCAGGGAAGAGTGCTTTTATTCCTATACATTCCACCACAGCCAATCTCCATGGCTCCTTTAATTTTAAGGTCTTCCTTCTAGACCACTTTCCTTTGTTGATCTTTTAGATGCATGTAAGGATTTCCCAAATTAAAAACCATCACCAAAACTTTATGTATGTATGTATGACTGTGCACATGCACACACATATATCCCTCATTCAGGGAAGAGTGCTTTTATTCCTATACATTCCACCACAGCCAATCTCCATGGCTCCTTTAATTTTAAGGTCTTCCTTCTAGACCACTTTCCTTTGTTGATCTTTTAGATGCATGTAAGGATTTCCCAAATTAAAAACCATCACCAAAACTTAATTCTTCCTCACCCTTGAGTCAATGCCATCACTTTCAATCACTCTTTTTCCCATCATCTCCCAGGTACCAGATCCATGGGCCTCTCCTTCAGCATCTCTTTCCTGGCCCTCTCTGCAGCATCTCGGACCATGGGATTTGCCCACTCTCTTCCACAGGTGCCTCCTGCTTGTTCCTCTTTGTGGCCTCTCCTTTTCACCTCCCTCCTCAGTGTTCACATTGCATGGGTTCACCCTTCACTCCTGCTCTCCCTAAATGCTCTCTGAGAGACAGAATTTTGGTCCCTGGGGCTAACATATGCAAATAGGCTCATTGGAAGGTTGTCTAAGTCCAGAACATGTGTCCTAATGTACATGTCACCAGGCTTACCAACAGGCAGCCTAGTAAACAGTAAAAGCAGGAAATACCCAGGCTCCAGGAGAGGACTGATTAGCAAAAATAAAGTAGCGCTCACGCTTTACTGTGTGTGGCTTCCAACAGGCACCTGTAACCTACAACAGCTGGTGGTATCCTTTTGCAAGTGTCTTCTCCTCTTTTCTAGGTTTATAGTTGGGTATAGGAAGCCTTGCACATCCTGTCTATTTCAATCACCATTATTTTCCCTACTCAAACAGGCAGATTATCCAAGAAATGTTTGTGAGGCAAATACTTCACAATGCTTTTTTTCTCAACAAGTATATTTATGTGGGGATGAAGTATTAGTAGTTTACATCATAAACTCCTGATATAATCTTTCCTTCCTTTCTTGTTTTACTTCAGATCTTTGTCTTTCTCCCTAATTGTTTCCATTATTCTGTACATCTAACTTCCTTTCTCTCCCCCTGCAACCTCTCTGATGTTTTACTATACTACTTGCTGCATGGGGAGTTCTTAAAAAGAATCCTCATTCATCTAAAACAGAATTCTTAAAATGCTCAGTGTTGGAATGCATCATCCCATCACAGAGCTTCTCAGGGCCTGACTGGACCTCCTTTCTCAGGGCCTTTTCTTGTCAGCTGCCTGTTACTTGCCTCATGCCAGCCCTTACCGCTCTGCTCAGTTTTCAGTTTCATGCCCTAGCCCGAGAGCATATGCCAGTCCTTACTTCGTGTGTCCTGCCCACAGCCTTCGTGACCTCTCATCTTTCAACATGCTTCATAGGCAACCCTTCCACTAAGTCTTCTGTCTCCAGAGCAGAGCAGGCAACTCTGCCCTCACTGCAGCCTGTGTGGGATCTTCTGGTGGCCTCCACAGCAGTGGTGTGCTTATTTACTAAGTGTCATCTGAGAGTAGCCTATGAAGCTTTTGAACACCAGGATTATAACTTACTGAATCCCTGTAATGTCTACCATGATTAGATGACTTAGTATCAGGGTATACTAGTCAAATCTTCGCAGAGAAGTAAACACATTACAACTACCTCCTTATTTTGAAGATTTTCTGAGGTAGAAGGCAAAGGTTCCACTGGATTTCCAGGACACACAGCCATCTGACTCACTGCATCTTTATTTCTAAAAGAAGAAAGCATCAGTCTATCATATCTTAATGAGTTATTCCCATTCTTTTACTTCAAGAGTCATAAAGGTTATTAGGACCAAATCCTCTAACCCCAAAGTCTTGAAATTCTGGTATAAACATAATAGTAACGAATTTATTTTCATCCAAAACAAATCAGTGCTGAAATGCTAATGAAATATTTAGTAAATCAGAAAGAGAAATGGCTCACCTGATAAAGATTATTTTCACTTTAGATGGGGCACATTTAATGATGGATGAGGCATTCTGATGACTTCTTCCATACAAAATTTGGCCATTGATCTGTGAAAAAGAAGTATCATTGGTTGAGCCTGAAATTCTTCATTTATGCAGTTAATATCATTTTGTCTAGCTAATAAAAAGCCTAGTATTCTCTTTTGTTAAAATATTAGCTGTATTTCTCTCTCCAGAACACAAACCTGAATTTGAATGATGAACATAGAAAAATCTCATATTTAAAGCTAACATAAAGTGGCATGCCTAAAGACTAATGTCCCTCAAATAACACCCCTGAGGTGTTGCTGGAAGCATCACTTGGAGGAAATACAGAGAACAGAGAACGACTTCCTGTTAAGTAGGGCTCTGTGGCCTGCAAAGACCACCTAGGCGAGTCCACTGTCATGGTTCTCAGCTGGTCTCAAGATGGAAGTCCTAGAAACAGGCACTTGGAGAAGACATACCAGGGAGGCTCGGGTCATGGGCAACAGACTGCCTGTAAGCAGCGCAGCACGCAACAGAAATGCAGCTGCCAGTCCAGGCCCAGTCATCAATCCACTGCCACCAGAACCAGAGTGAGCAGCAGATACACATGCACCACCTGAGAGTATAAAGATGGAAATCATGCTGGTCTAGCCTATCGGACGTAAAAGAAAAGCAAACAGTCTAAGCACATGGTCTGCAAATCTACTTTGCTTGGCAAGGTGCTGCTTTTGCTATTAGCTTTGGCCTTGGCCACATGTCCCCTCACCCCATCTCTTCCTTCATTAGGGATTCAACATCCAGAATGTCCAGTGTGTCGGTATCACGGGGGGAATGACTGGTCATTTAGCTTTTCTAAAACTCCTAATAAAAATGGAGCACACTCACAAAAATGTTTTTAAGTGTGATTTTCATTACTGTCTTGGGGCAGAAAGAGTGTCTGGTGCTGCAGAGCCATGACCTTCTAATGGAAGTTAACGGGAACACAAATTCTATGTCAAAGAGATTTGGTTCAGAGCCAAATACGCTGGAGTGAATCCATTTTATTAGGCAACTGATGGTTTATTTAGTCACCATATGAAGTCTGGGTGAGTCTTTAGAAACTGAAGCTTCCACAGTGCTGCTATGGCAAGAGTAAATTCACAGCCTCCTACCACCACTTACTTCTAGAAGCTCGTCGGCAATCTGCAGTCGGCCATCTCTTCCTGCTGCTCCATTTGGGTCGATTCCCACGATAAAGACACTCATTCTGGTTCGGTCTTTATTCCCAGCAAGACTCAGACCCAAACCACCACGACCTTTCTCCAGTTCAATCATGTGGAGCTGGCCTGTTAGGGTTCCATAACGCTCTCTGATATTTTCTACTCATAACAACAACAAATGCAGTTAAAGTTAATTCATAGTCAAATGCTTTACTATGGAAGGCTATTTAGATTTATCTCAAAAGAACATTATTTGCTTCAAAATGCTTTCTTTAGTCATTAGAAGCTAGACAGATTGACTGCCTGGACATCAGGACTTGCTTCCTAGAATAATCAAACTCTGATGACCTTCTCTGAATTAAGCGTATACACAGCACAATGTCTGACTAATCAGTTCACCAAGGGCCATTAGACCCAAGAGAAGTAATTCACATGTAAAAACTGGCAGAAGACTAATTAAACTAGAAAATTACTTGACCACTCGGAGAGCAGAAGAGAAGAAAGCGCCCAGAAAATTTGTCACTGACAGCAGGGGCTTCTCTAACAGCAAATCTGCACCATGTGTCCCATTACCTCTGGCAGCTACTCAGGACATACATCCAGGAGTGTGCAGGCCAGGATAAACCAATGTACCTGTCCCCACACAGAAATATGTCTTGACTGTATGAGACAAGATCTACTCTAGATTTCGGACATGTTTTTTTGTTTTGGTTTGGTTTGGTTTTCTTTTTGTTTTAATCTGAGAGAGCGAAGGCATATGTAGGTGCTCCAAGCAAAAGTTTAATTATCAGTAACCAGAACTGACTGCTAGCCATGCCAATGAGTCATCTCAGACACCCAGCCCTGATTAGTCCCATTGATCGTTACCATACCCCCTGCACAACCCTAAGTTCATATTTTAAGCCACTGTATCATTTAATTCACTCTGATGAATTAAAAAAAAACTGTAACATTCTGGTCATCTGGTCATTTTAATTAGGTCAGAATTTTGACAAGTCATCTCAGAAAATTATTATATGGCTAATGACCTTTATTTCATGTCGATTCTTAACTACGCCAATTACATAAACATTATCTCCATCCTCCTTCCCCAACTTAGCAATATAACTTGTATGTTCTGTGCTTTCTAAGATGTGTGTACTACAGCTTTCTTAAAGGAAATAGTTGAGTTTTTAAAATAAAATATTTTAACATGATGACATATTCATGACTTTTGGGTGTATTTTTGTACCAAGTATGGTGCTAGGCTTCCTCAGACATTACCTAATGCAGTATTAGTATCACAAGAGAACTGCATTTTAAAAGACATCTTGCCAAATATCCAAAGGTTTTGTCCTAGTGATTATAAGGTTACCATCAATACCAAACAATAAGTTCAGGGCATAATACTAGCAGCAGCCAGACATTCCAATGAGGAACCTAAGGCCTAGAGAGGCCATTGCTTGTTCAAGACAGCCAATCCAGTACTGTCCTCATTAATGTTCTGTCCTCATTAATTCTCATATGAGAAGCAAAGGGGCATTTGTAGGGATGCACATTTAAAGTAAACAAAGAACAGGACTTCAGCCTCAGAAATGTACATTGTATTCAAGTTAAACAGTATTTTTCCACATACAGTGGCAGTATGTATCTCTAAAGTTGAAACAAACTTATTCATACAAAACAGATGCCCTGCAAACCCAGAACTATTTCAACATTTCTTATAATCAAGGGCACTACAATCAGACAACTCACTCCAGCTGTAACCAAACTCATCTTCTTTGTCTGCTTCTTCTGCCATGGTGCTTGCAAGCTGTGCATGGTCACTACTGGTTTCCGAAAATGCTTTAGGCGAGGGCAGAGGAGCGTCGCACAGGGGTGCCTTGTCCGACTCTGATTCTGACTGACTGGGTGCCTGTGGGAACAAGAAAAATGCAATGGCTATGTGGGGTCTTAAGAAAACTGTAAGAAAAATAATATAATTCCAAAAATAAAACCCAGCTTTAAAATATCCTTCAAATAATGGAAAGCTGACATATGATATATGGGATTCAGGCATCAAAACAAAATTCATTAAATTGCTATTTATTAATGTAAATGGATGCATAATTCAGTTTGAAGGCTTAGTGAGCCAAGATAGAATGGGGTACAAATTTCCCCATTGGAAAAAAGAGTAGGGATGTATATGAGATTTTAGGGGTCTTGAAAAGCCTGCTAAGAAACAAACCAACCAATGGGAAAGGAAATTAACAACAACAACAAAAAATCACCTTAAAACTTGTTAGTGAGAGCCAGCAAGATAGCTCAGCAGGTAAAGCCATTTGTGGCCAAGGCTGAAGATCTGAGTTCGATCCCTGGGACCCACACAAGAAGAGAGAACTGATTCCTACAAGCTGTGTTATGACTGCCACACCCATGATGTGGCCATGTACACACATGCAAGAATGCACATACACATACACATACATACAGTAACTAAATATGATCATGATAAAATCTCATAAGGCTGTACGTAAAGACACCTCTCGTTTTGTTGATCTAGAGACTGAAACCATGATCTTGCACATAATAAGCAAGTGTTCTACCACTGACCTTTATCCCCAGCCCCATATGAACAATTTCCAAATGACTCTGAATGAATCAATATAAAAGAGCATTATGCATGTGGGTTTGTCTCCCAGGGACAGCTTGCTGGTTAGCACGGAGTGCACAATCTGTGGGTCAGTTTTAAGAACACTACCATCTTTTCCCTAGCAGCTCACAAGGTAAGTGTAAAAGATACTTTATACAGAGCCAGATGTGACATACTTGCTGTCACTTAAGATTGATTTGGCATACATAGTCAAGATATGTGTGTGTGTGTGCATATATAAAATATATGTATTATATATATAATATATAATACATATTATACATTTATGTGTTTATTCAACAGCATGTTAGAGTCTGACAGCCCTGTAAACTGTAGGTTACTGAGTTCATTTCACTCCATTTGAAGATGAAGAAACCCGATTCTAAGGCCATAAGAGGTAAAAGATTTTGTTGGAAATGAGAAGCTATACTTCTTTCTGCTTAATTCTTTTTTTTTAACGTTTACTTATTTATACAGAGGACGGACATGGTGTGTGTGTGTGCGCGTGCCTTACACAAGTGTGGCACTCAGAGACAACTTGCTGGAACAGATTCTCTTTTTCCATTGTGTAGGTTCCACAGATTGAGCTCAGATGACATGGCTTGGAGGCAAGAGCCTCTATCCACTGAACCATCTCACCAGCCACTTTCCACTGAATTCTTAGTACAGTGCACTTTGCATGGTATCTTACCTTCTCCGATTTCCATAGTATAGTAGCTGTCTCAGGTGAGGGAGAGCCACCTAAAGTACTACCCCAAGCAGTCCCAAAGGCCCCCAACTTACATCTTTCCCTCTTTCTTTATGTTACTTTCCTAAATAAAAATCTTTCTTACATAACTTGCTTGAAATATATGTGCATACCTATGATTTTCTAAAGATAACCTGCTTCTGATAGACCACACTAAAAGCCGTGCTCCTAAAATCTTAAGAATTATTAAGTGGTGCCAGGAATTCGAATGCCACAAAACATCTAGCACTAAAACTTTATGGCACTAAATATCGTCTTTTTAGTGATTCACAAAACACATAATTTTCAGGCAAACCATTGGTTGAGAGGATTTAGGGGCAATCACTTTCCAGGTTATAGAATATGCTGTACTAAAAATGTTTAGTTTACACATCATTGGTCAAACAAGAGTCACTAGTACTGATGGAATTCCTGCTATCTTCCCACATGCTTCCCATCGATCTCTCAAACAACCTTCAAAAAAAATGAACAAACACATAAATGCCTCATTTGGTGGAACCGAAATTTAGAAATCTCACTAAAGAGGGCAAGATCTGTAGCTCTTGCTACATGTTTTTAAATTATTTTTCTCAGAACAAAGAAAAAACTTTACTTATCGGAAAAACTGCTCAAGATTGCACGCAGCATTTCATACTGTGAATAAACTAAAATTGTGTCCTAACCCAATTACTAATCATGGAGCTAATATTGGCCTTTACTTTCTTGAGTGACAATTACGTCTTCTATTTGCTGTGCTAAGATCATGGAACTGGCTTGTAATTGACACTGCTCAAATTCTGTTAATAAAAATATAGCTTTAAAGAAAGGTCATTTAGCCTTTTAAAAAAATATGCAAAGTGCATGTACAATCACCCCATGCCGTATGTGCACACATCAAGTACAATGTACATGCATCACACACTGTAACACACCTACTTCAAAATGTCATATGGAGACACACCTTAAATGGTGTGGGAGCAAAAGGGTTACATGAGGACCAATGGAAGATGACTGTACTTGAGTTCTGCAATTCCTACATTAATAGAAAACATATTTCTTCAGACATGGCATCTCTGCTTATCCAGAATACAGTTATGTAGAAATCCAATGAATATTCATAAAGTACTTCCTAAAAGAAACTGTTGACAGCTTTCTCCCTTTCTATTACCAATTTATGGTATGTAAGAACCCTTATAAATTTGTGTTTCAATTGTGGTTTTACAATTTCATTAGAATACAATAGCCAAGTATAGAATGATGACCATGGCAACAGTCATGTTTCCTTATTTTGGCATTCACGTAGACATACTTTATGAATACTCAGGCCTTTGACACGCACACGTGGACACACACACATCGTTTGCAGAGCAGTGGAAGAGCTCTTAGGATCATCTTGTACATGTTTGATGACCTTTTAATCCCACATAAGGTTTTCAGGAAATTATATGTGAAAGTAGTTTATACATTTGACAACAAATTTAAATATTAAAAAAATTAAATCACACTACAATGCAGGACAAACACTGGACTTGTCCCTCTCCCTTCTTTAGATGGGCCATTTAATTTCAGGTAAAAAATAAATATTCTCTGGCAGGAATGTGCTTAAGAGAGAATTTGCATGCCCACTCAAAACACATAGTCATTTGTGTTGTTTTGTTTTTCTGACTAAATGTAGTAGGCAGCGAACTGGGACAAAGGCATATAGTAACAACAAAACGTTTGCAAAAGGCAACAGCAAGAGAATGGGCATTATCCAACCTTGTCAGCGGTGAGCTGGAGAGAGTCAGCAAATGGGTTAGTGCTGCTGAAGTTGTGCTTAGGGTAAAGGTTGTGCAGCAAGGAAGGCAAAGGGGATTTCTAGAAGGAAACAGAAGACGCGCTGAAGGCACAAGATACGTATTTAAAACAACCCAACTTTAAGAACAAAGTACTTACTGGTTTAAAGAGCTGCTTGTGAGAACCTGGAGTCTGTGTTAACTCATTGTACCATCTCCTTGTACAGTGTAATACACAGGACTAATGGGTTGCTTCTAAGGGCCTGAGCCTGCCTATACCTGAGTTTAAATCTGTCCATAAACTGCAAAGGAAACCAGACTGACCAACTGGCTTCACAATTCCTTCATTTTCTCTGAACGGTATTATTAAATGGGTGGAGATGAGTGAATTCTGTCCATATCATATACTAACTTATGATTCATGGTCAAAATTAATCACAAATTTTTCATTTAGATTTAAAAATGAATGCATTGCTTTTCAATAGTCCATCTGTTTCAGATGCAAAGTAAACAGCTTTCTCACAGTTCATCAGCATCAGGATTCCTTTATTCCTCCCCCATTTAGGAAATCAGACTTTGACTAGATATTAAAGCTGATTAAGAACAATAAATTTTTTTAATTTAAAAAGATGAAAAAAAAGGAGCTACTCTACAGTGTGCTCTGTTCTTTACCAATTTTTGTGGAGATTTGACAGAGATTCATATTTTAAATTTTATTAGTTTTTGTTTATTTTATGTTTACCAGTGTTTTGCCTGTGTGTATGTAAGTGCACCTGTGCCGTGCAGTGCCTGTGGAGGCCAGATGAGGGAATTGGATCCCCTGGAACTGAAGTTATGGATGGTTGTTAGCCACCATGTGGGTGCTGGGATTCGAACCCGGGTTCTCTGCAAGAGCAGCCTGTGCTGAGCCATCTCTCCTGCCCTGAGATTCATATTTTTAAAAATTCCTATAAAACCTCTTACATCATTGGTGAATTTACGGCTTTTGATAGTATTTGAAGCCCCATGTTGGAGTGTTTCTCCTAGATTTTGAAGCTTGCCTGCAGTCAGCCTTTAGCCAGGACTGCTGAAGTTGAATTACATATTAAAGGCAGGAAGTCTGCCAGATAGAATTTAACATTTTCATACTTTAAAAAAGTAATTTCCTTAGCACAATGAATTCTTCTCCATTTCACACCAGCTATGTTTTCCTTCTATTGACTGTATCTTTCAAAGAAAATTGCAGACGTTTAAAATTCATGTTGGCTCCAATAAAATGTTTGTGTTACTGCTCTCACTGAAAAGGCCCACTGGCAGGCGTGGAGTGCAGGGACTGGTCATGTGACTTCACCCTGCTTGGGAGAGCATGCTAGAGAGACTGTCCCCTGTGCCAGCACTGAAGCTTATCCCACATTACCCTTTCAATCTGTGCTTTCTGCAGTGTTTTTCCTACAGAGAAAGACAGGAAAGGATATGGGTTCAATGACATTTCTGTTCATCTCAATTTTCTCCCTGCTTTTCAGTTTAAAATGTCGACTCCTGCCTTACCCACGAGGTGATCACAAGTGTCAGGAAACACGACCACTTATTAAGGAAGAAGAAATGGCCGGGCAGCTGAAAACCACTGGAAGGCTAGTAATTTAGTACACGGATAGAGGGTGGAGGGTGTTTCTGTTCATCAGACCTGGCAGTTCTAGGTTTTGAACGTCCTCATCATTATGCAGACACAGACCATGAGGGCAAGAAGCAGAATCCCAAGAGACCTCTAGGGAACTCTGCGTCCAGATCTTTCAGGATTGGAATCTGGCCCTGACGGCAGAGTGTAAAGGCACAAGAGAAATAGATGGCAAGGAGCCCACTCTATTATTAGGGAAAGATTGACAGAACTTGATTTTCTGCTAAAACAAAATGAATGATGAAACTTGAGGTGACAGTCCCGAGGGCTAATGAAGGAAGAAACACTAACCGACGAGGTGCACACAGAAAGCAGAAACCTTCTGGGCCCACAGGGAGAGGCACCCTTCAGTCAGGCAATGTGGTCACACTGAGTTCTGGGTTGTCACACTGGTAGACAGTAAGGGAAAGTCTGTGTAAGTTCTCATTCCTGAACAGCCAAAGTCCAAAGAGAGTGGCTGGTCTAATCACCTGCGTAAGAGCTCCTAGAAGCTCTAACCTCTGCCCACAAATAAAATCTACCACTAAGGGACTCCAGGCAAGTACATTTGCAATGTTTTTCCTTTAGATTACGGGAGGCATGATTACCTTCATTTGGAAGTAAATCACTGCAAACAAAGACTATCTCATTTTAAATGCAAAATTAATTCTAGTTTTCCAAAGCAAAATGTGTATAACTTGACTAAACATGTCATTTTTAGGCAAGATTTATTCTACAATAATTGCTATAAAATTAGGTGTCATTATGCCTCAAATAAAAAAATAGGAGTATTTTCCAGGTGTGTAAGACAATATCCTTCCAGCATGTGAGAAAATGTGATTGACAATGAAAGAAATGCTTATGGTTTAAGTGTCTGAATTAATATTAAGAATCACTATTCAGCAGCTTATAATATTATTCCAAATGATGTTAAAAAGTAAAATAAAACAAAAATAAGAGTAAACCCACCCACGCAAAAGTAGCTTTAACTTAAGCAGCCATTTACAACATTTACCAAGCTGTGTCTATGTTTAACACAACAAATGGAAACAAATGTAAAAAGACTTGCAGGTATTTAAACAAACTGAATAGCATTTACAAAGAATGCGGCTCAAGGCAGCACCATCATTTGGCAGATTTTCTATCTGAATGGATAATTATTACCTAACAACAAACAACTGAATGATTAAACGCTGCAGATGTGAAGATAACCACTTATATTAAGAACCAGTACATTCACTCCTGTACTAGAGGCACACCTGTCTTGGTAACTACGGAAGGGTGTGAAAGACAAACCTGGCTGCTTTGGATTCAGGAGCACACGGGGCTGATCTTTTGCTCCTTTCACTGAGAGTGTCTGCTACTTTTCTTCCATCATCTGAACACCGCTACCTTAAACTCTTAATTGTACATGTTAAAATTCATTGTATTTTGCGTATAATATCACATATTTTAATTTCCAGACAATGTGTCTAGCTGCCTTCAATATGTGAACACATGTCTCTCAAAGTCAACCAACCCTAAACTTACCAGTAAGCAGAGGTCAGAGGAAATGATAGGACAAGTAATTACATCCAAACGTGGAACCTCAAAGGGCTTCAGGAGCTCGGGGAAACTCCCGAAACAGCATTAAAAAAGCACACTTTGAGGAACAGTATATGTCATTCTCAGTGTATGTGGCATAGATCTTTTATAATTATTGCACTGGAGAAATTTTTAGTGAGGCATAGGCAAGGAATGAGGAAAAGCAGCATCAAACTGCATGTGTTCACAGCCCTCAGTAGGACCACAGTAAGTAAATACTAAGCTTCAGTTTTATCTTTTCTATGAATAAGATCATTAATGTGCTCATAGTTACTTAACATTTTCTTCAGACAGGGTCTTGCTATGACATAGCGCCAGCTAGCCTTGGATCGATCAGCAGTCCTTACATCAGCCTCTGCAGAACTGGGGATGTGGACACACAGCACCATGAATGGCTTCTACAATACTTTTAAGAACTATTTACCCATGATGACAGAGGGTACAATGTTAGTAGGTTTCTGTCACCTAGGATCTGTTCTGTGATGATCTCCACAGTGACTCTGGCTGGGAATCAATTATTAAATCATTTGTAAATAAACAAAATGCACTCTGTAAGAACTATGTCCAGTGCAATGCACAAACATGTAAAGAAGTGTTTATGAGACTGCATAAACAAGAGATTTTGTTTAAAGAATAAATCTGGAGAAAATGAAATCTTTCTGGCTTCTAAGGGACTCTCTTAAAGATAAATGACCTTTAACCTACATATCTACATCTTGTTCCTTCAGCAAATTATATACGTTTTGGACAGAATGAACACTACTATCAAGATATCACTTAGACACCTATGATGACAAATCAAGCCTACTTCTGTGTATTATCAACAGCTGTCAAGTCTTTCAATGGTGGAAGAGATTTCCAGAACAGCTTGATGTTTTAAAAAGCAAAGGAAACTTTGAATGAATCTTCTGAGACTTTGAGAGTTGGTGTGTGCACATACAGGCAACTTGGTCCCAGCTACATTAGACTCCAAGTTGAGCGCTGTTTGGACATGCCTACCTTACCCTGTGTGTTCGCTTACCCTTGGTCTGTTTATAATGCTCTGTACCATAAACACTACAGGGTTGCCTGCTTTCCGAATGGCTTCCACAGCTTGTTCATGGCTTGCATCTCTGAGGTCCATCCCATCCACCTGCAATGGAAGGCCTCAGCTTAACATTTCAAGAAGCTTTAGAACAAAAAGAACAATTTGGATCAGGAGTTTTGAGGATCCTTTAGATCCTGGAAAATTGATTTCCATTAAAAAAAAAATAAATAACTGAGACTACTTGTGGGAATGCACAAGTTGACTTTCAGGACCTTGCCTGGAAACATATTTTGGTCTCAAAAAAACGGACTGGAATAATCAATGGAATTTCTGCTTCAATGTTCCTTAAATCACTCGGTTATTCTTTACATTTTAGATTGGCGTCATTCAAGAAACAACAGAGCTACACAATGCCACCATCTTTATAAGAGTTAATGTGCTGTGTTTCTTCTAATTCTTTATAAAGGGATTTATTTCGTGAATTAGGTTGGTGATTCTTTGCATGCTTCTCTCAGGGAAACAAGGTCTAAAAAAATAGTGCTACAGAGAAAAATCAGAATATCATACAGTTAGTTTGCAAAAGATTCTTTGCAGTGGATGTGGCAGAAGCTGAAAGCCAAGGAATTTTGCTTGCTTGTTAGTAATTCTCACACAACTAGCTTGAGAATTGAAGTCATTTCACAACTTGTGTGTGGGTGATGGTCAGCTTAGTTTATACTATATGATCAAGAAGGAAAAGAGTTAAAAGGCCAAATGCTAACCCTGCCAGAAAACTGTATATGCTATTATCATTGGTGAATGGACACAATCCTAGAACACAAAACCAATTATTAAGTCCTGACACAGAATTATATACATTTAGTTGAACGCATCTCTCAGGCTTACGCTTCCATGATGCCACAATATTTTTCAGTACACACTAAAATGTCTTTTCCTGTTTTTATTCAAGTTAGTATTTACGTCTAGTGTATATCAACTATACAACCACCTAGTGGAAAGGGTTGTAAGGACGCCATGTATCTTTAGTCAAGTCCAAAGCAGGTATCTATTCACTTAACGTACATACATTCTGAAACTCTTAGCACAGCCCTGTTGTCAAACTCCCCAGGATTGCAAAAGCCCAAGCCCTGCATGTAAGGTACCCTCAAGCAGGTATTTTACAACAGCACCATGAAAAGTCCTTTTTTCCATTTGAAAGAGTTATTTTAATTCTTAATATATTTAGATAGCACTTGGGGTGGGTGGAGCTATGACCAATCATGTCAGATGATTATAAACATTTCTTATTTTTATATTTAGGAAAAACACTAATAGTTAAGCTACATTAAATAGACTTCCTAGTGACAATTTAAAATAAAATCTTCTAGATGGAATGCTAACTACAAGGCTTCTTTTAAATGGGGCTACTATGTCATTTAATGAAAGACAACAGATGAACAGGGAGAAAAAGCCTTTCCTATCATTCATTCTTTAAAAAATACTTTATTATTTTTATTTTATGCATATGAGTGTATTGCTTGCATGTATGTGTTCCCATGTCATACAATGCCCGCAGAGGTCAGAAGAGGGCATCAGATTCCCCTGGAACTGGAGTCATGAATGATTGTTAGTCACCATGTGGTGCTGGGAATCAAACCCAGGTCCTTGCAAAAGCAGCTGATGCTCTTAACCACTAAGCCATCTCTCCAGTTCCCTATTCATTCTTATAGATGGCCACAGGGAAAGAAAGTCATGAAGCTATGGTCCACTCAAATCTTCATCCCTCATTTCCTCAGGTCTCAGAAGAAACGGATGAATGAACGGACAAATAAAACATCTTATTTTTACTTTGTGGTTCTGGGGATTGAACACAAGGTCTTGCACACACAGACCAGGCAAGCGCCATAGCACTGAACCACATGCTGAGCCAAAAATGTTCATTTTAAAGTCATGGCCGATATACTAGAACCAGCCTTCTAAACAGTGAAAGCGTTTTCATGTGCCAGTTTTATGGATTGTGGAAATGACATAATCATTTGTATAAAGTAAGTACAATGCCCATTATAGTAACACAAATCTTTATCCATAATTGCTCCTTTTATTATACTCTGTAACTAGGATATCGGGTCAGATACTCATTTCACTACATTAATAAAACTGTGCCTAATCTGATTAAATAACTAATCTCACTGTTCGGAACTGTCATGACAACTTCTCCCATCTGCACCCTCTGGCCAGGCAGGTGCAGTGCTCTGCCTACTGGGGGACACCAGAACCTGGCCCAGCACCTGGAATATAGTTGCTGCTCTGTGAATTCTCATCAGTAAATGAGTGACTCAGGAAAAACTCTACATGAGGTATTAAACTCTGACTCAGGTTTGATTTGAGGTTTGATTTGACTACATGGCTCTCTCTTACATAAAACAAAGTATACATGCGTGTACACATAGGGCCTTCTGTGGTGATCGGGCACAGTGCTGAGGAGGAGGCTCCTGGCTTGGAATGAAGGCAAAGCATTCACTTGAAACGTCATCAAGGGCTTAGCACTGAAAATTTTAGTAGAAAAGACTCACTTGGAATAAAAACTTCATAGAACAAAGTTTATCTACATTGAAATGATATATTTGTTGAAATAAGATCTTATTGGAGAACTTAACTATGAGATGTAAAAAAACATATATATATGTAAAAAAATATATATATATACACACATTA